ATCTGCTTTCTTGAGGTTGTAAATTGCCATCCTAGCCACCGTCAGGTCTGCGGCTATGCGTATCACAGATATACCTTGCTCTAATAGGGTGAGTGCACGAGTCTTCTCTTCAATTTAAAGTTTAGTTTGACCCATTCTGACCACCTGGAGCAGAGATATAGCATGGCAAAGTTCATGGTCGAGTGAAAAAATAGGCAATGAGTAACAACGTAACAGTCCTCTTTCATCATCGAGCTCTGGAAGAGCAGTGTAGCGTGGAGTGGTGGGGAACATTGGAGCAAGACAGGCTCCAGTACACTAAGCCATCACAAGCTCCACCCACTTTTCTTATGGCAGAAATTCAAATGAAATGTGTACACCAAAATCTAGTGTATAGATTTTTTTTGCATTGGAAATGTATAGATTTTTTTGTGGCCACTGTACATATTTGTACTTGATTGTGCACCCCCTTAGCACAAAGTTCATACATTGATTAAAACTACTTGTAGGATAAATACCTACCCAAAACATTACTGCCTTACACCCAATTGTAGCATTCTCATACTGTGAACTACTTTCAACAACTCACAATGTTATATTCTCATAATATAACTTCAATGTTTATAATTGAAACTATTGTAATTTGAGTAAAATTACTGTATACTATAAATAAAAAAGATGTACAGCTTAAATAAACTATGTTCAGTTTCTTTAGTATTAAGTAGTCTGTAAGCCATTAAATTAAGTCTGCCCATAATGCCTAGGCATGATAGTGTCTTTCTTTGCACTGCAACTCATTTTTGTAATTTCATGATCTCAATGTAATCTTGCAAGGAAATAAAAACTGATTGATTGATTGGTAGAAGTGCAACAGCACTTGGAAGAGAAAAATGGAAGAAGTACAATTGAAGTTCATTGTAAAGGGGTTAGTGATGGGTCTCAGTATTTTGTCTATAAATCTGTACTTGACTGTGCACCCCATAGTACAAGATAGAAGTGCAGCAGCACTTGGAAGAGGAAAGAGAGGAAAATGGAAGAAGTTCACAGTAAGGGGTTAGCTGGTGTGTTCATCTCTGTTTACATTCTTGATCTCTCATGGCATTGGTGATAATAATAATAATAATAATAATAATAATAATAATAATAATAATAATAATCTTTCTTTCTTTCAACACACCGGCTGTATCCCACCGAGGCGGGGTGGCCCAAAAGGAAAAACGAAAGTTTCTCCTTTTGCATTTAGTAATATATACAGGAGAAGGGGTTACTAGCCCCTTGCTCCCGGCATTTTAGTCGCCTCTTACAACACGCATGGCTTACGGAGGAAGAATTCTGTTCCACTTCCCCATGGAGAATAATAATAATAATAATAATAATAAAATATAATTAATCACTGGGGCGCTTTGAATGTCATACGTATTTTGTATAGGTTTGGTAGCTGACATTTCAGGGTTTCCGACATACTAGTACGTCTTACGCACCAGGGTTATTGATGTACTAGTACACGTAAATTCTAGTACCTTCAAATCTAGCGAGAGAAAGCTGGAAGGCTTACATATGAAAGAATGGGTCTATGTGATCAGTGTGCACAGGATAAAAAAGTACTGCAGCACATAGTGCATAATGAGAAAAAAAAACTTTGACCATGGTTTTGGTTTAAAACAGCGACTTCGCACTATATTTTCGTATGGTATTTATGGCTGTATTTTAGTTTTCTTGTTCTCATTTTATAGAATGGAAGACACATCAATCTTGAAGAGATTGATGGACTGACCACATCGACTCAAGGCTGAGGGACTGATTACCTCATTCTCCTCCTGTTCTTCAAGTTTCTCCTTTGTATGGACTGATGAAGCCACTGTGTGGCGAAACGTTTCCTCAATAAAGATACCTAAGAGTTGCACATGTGTCTAATTCAACAACATGTCGGTTCTTTGAACCATTCATCTACAAAGGAGACTTCTGTTGGGTTAGTCGGAGCTAGGAACAGTGTGAACATTAAAATGGTATAAAATACCAACAGGTTGTTAGGTAAGACACATATGCAACAGTTAGGTATCTTTATTATGAAACGTTTCGCCTACACAGTAGGCTTCTTCAGTCAAGTACAGAAAAGTTGATAGAAGCAGTAGATACTTGAAGACGATGTAATCAGTCCATCACCCTTAAAGTTTTGAGGTGGTCAGTCCCTCAGTCTGGAGAAGAGCATTGTTCCATAGTATGGAACAATGTTCCATAGTATGGAACAATGCTCTTCTCCAGACTGAGGGACTGACCACCTCAAAACTTTAAGGGTGATGGACTGATTACATCGTCTTCAAGTATCTACTGCTTCTATCAACTTTTCTGTACTTGACTGAAGAAGCCTACTGTGTAGGCGAAACGTTTCATAATAAAGATACCTAACTGTTGCATATGTGTCTTACCTAGGAACAGTGTGTTTGGGTAGTTGCCAGTGAGGTAGTCATTGGGTGGGGTATTTGAGCTTGGGATTTTATTGGCAAGGTTTTTTCCTGTGGTGGAGAAGAAATCATTGAGTCTGTTTGCTGTTTCAGTTGGTGAGAGTTGGGGTTCATCTGGCTTTGTTAGTTCAATTGCACTGTTTCGTGATATCTTTTTTGTTCCTAGAATTTCTGATAGGGTTTTCCGGGTCTTTTTTATATCACCTTTTAAGTTGGATAATCTGTTCTCATAATACAATTTTTTTGCCCTTCTTATCGGGCTGGTTAGGATTGACAAGTAACGTGCTTTAATCCTTTGACTCCCGCAACCCAAATCCTGAAGTGTCGCCTGGTGTCGAAAAATTTTTGGTAAAAAAAAACAAAATTATTTTTTCTTATGAAATGATAGAGAATCTTTTCCTGATGGCAATGACACCAAAAGTACAAAATGTCATCGAAAACTTACAGAATTATGCTCCCACAAAGTTAGCGATCTCGGCGATATATACACATCGGCAATTTTGCAGACTTTGAACCCTATCTTCAGCCAATTCCATTGTTCCAGTTGACCAAACTCATAGCTATTTCTTTAGAACTCCATTTTTTCTATCAACTGAGTACAAGAAACCGCCCATTTACTGATTTCAACTACGCAATAAAGTGGTCAGAAATTGGCATTTGGCCAATTTCACGCAAATTAAAAAAGATGCCAATTTCAAAATAGGTTCCAGAATAAACAATGCAGACATTCTTGGCACTAAAATAACATATCCTCTATTCATTAGTCACATCTCCAGGCCTCTCTTATATTACTCTTGCTTTCTATTTTGATTTTTTATTCATACAAACAAAATAGAAGATTTACTGTTATGGAGACTACTGCATTATTGTAAAAATGGTATAAATAATATAAGTGCACTAGTGAAAGAATATTGGACTCCCCAGTTGACATGTATTGGACATGGGGTGTGATTTGCTTACTCTTGAACACTGGTAAAAATCGAACATTTCCACTACTTTGAGCTCAATTTCAAGGTCGTTTTCATCGTGAAACTAATCAAAATCATCTCCATTTCTTTAATATGTTTTCCATTCTATCAAATGAGACCAAGAAAACGATAATACAACAATAAATACTATAGGAAAATACACCTCAAAGTCGGTATTTTAATTCCAAAACACGGTCAGAATTTTTTTCTCTCATTATGCACTGCATGCTGCAGGATTTTTTTTATATAGTGCACACTGACCACACAGACCCATTCTCTCACATGTGGGCCTACCAGCTTTCTCCTGCTTGATTTGAAACCACTAGAATTATTGAGTATATATACGTCCAAAACACTGGCTCGTAAGACATATATATATACATGGTCAAAACAGTCAAAGGGTTAAATGTCACAAGTATTTCGTATGCGGTTGGTAGCTGACATTTAAAGCACTCCAGATTGATTATTATTAATTATTGCTATTATTATTATCATTGGCGGCATCTTTATCAGCAACGGTTCCCAATCCTTGCCTCACAATACTGTGAATGCCAGTCCCCTTCTTAAATTATCAAACCAGCCATGGCTGGCTTTAAACACTTCACTCTCTTGGGTCATTCCTGCCTTGTTTTTCAAAAGATCGGCATGCATCGGTTTTGCCTTTTCGCAAATCATTGCTTCTGATATGCTCTCGTTGGCACACTGTTTTTTTATTATCCAGATCAGAAGCAATTTTTCAACATGCTCTAATGTCCCTGATCTTTGTTTGGTAATCGATTTCACCCCCTTTGCAATGTTAGCCAATTTAATAACATCTTTGCTTTTCACAGTCGTAGATACCATTGTTCTCGGCAGCCAAGTCCCGGATACGCATGCCACCTTCATACTTTTCAACAATCACTTTTTTCACCTCCATGGTGATCCTAACCATTTTCTTTGTTGCTTGGCTCTTCTCATTAAATTTCTTAAAACTTATGGTTAATGAATTTACTAAAAATTTATGTGAAAAAACACAAAATCACCTGAAAATTCACAGAGTTATAGCATGATTTGTTCACTGAATGGTAGCAATGGGCATACTGATGCTAGTGGGCAGTCGTGGCTTTGTCTTGAGAGGTGAACAAGGGTAGCGCGCGGTGTCGTGACTCATTTTCACCCATACAAGTACGTACTAGCACACAAGTCATATTCCAAACAAAGGTCGTATTCAAAGCAAAAATTTTCGTGTCCAAACAGGACGTATACCAAATTGGACTTATTCCAAAGTGGACGTATACCCAGGTACCACTGTACTCTCTTATAAAGTTCCTCAGTATTGTGTGAGTTTTTGTAAATTCAGTTTTGAAAGTCATCCAAAACTGAATAGCATATAATGTAAAGCCTTTCCATGTGGTGTTAAATTTTGGATGAAATGTTTGTCACATTTACAAAAATAATTGCTCTGTATGGAGGAGCTTTATCATAAAAATTAAAATTTAAAACTTTCAAACACAAAAGAAACAAATATTCGTATAGAGTCTGCACCAGACAGTGTGTGTAAGAGTAAATGTTTACAAGTCATCTGTATTTTCTAATTTGTCTCTGTTCACAGCCTCAGCCACATAACAGCAGTTACCCTGCGTCTCCTCAGAAGCCAGATACCTACACACCACTGGCAGCACTCTCCACCATGCAACCAGTGATGAGTCCTGGCGGTACCCCTCATCACCACCACCACCATCACCACCACCATCACCAGCCCCATCCTCCTCCACCTCCACCACTCCATCAAGCCCCTCCACCTCCACCACTCCATCAAGCTCCTCCACCTCATCATCAAGCTCCTGCACCTCACCATCAGCCTCCTCCACCTCACCATCAACCTCCTCCACCTCACCATCAGCCTCCTCCACCTCACCATCAGACTCCACCTCACCATCAACCTCCTCCTCCCCCTCATCATCAACCTCCCCAACAGCACCATCCACCTGCACCTGCACCACCTCCTCCATCTCAACCACATCATCCACCTCCACATCAACATCCTCCTCCATCTCACCATCCTCCCCAGCATCCACCTTCACATAACTATCCTCAACCCCATCACCATCACCCACACCATCAACCATATCCTGCTCCACCCCCAACCAATCACCCTCATGGTGCCCCAGCTCCACCAGGGCATCACTGCGGGTATCGTCCATCAACCTTAACACCTCCCAATGGAAATACCCCAACTGGCAATCCTTCACAAGGAAATCCACCCACACCAGGACCTCCTATGGCTGGTTCCAACTATCCTAGCCACTCCTCACCTGGGTATTTACCTCCCAGTCACGTGGCCGCACCGGCTCACGCTACCCATCCACCGCATCATTCACCAAAGCAACTTGGTTCTCCAAATCACGTTTCTCCAAGCTTGAAGAGTCCTACCATGAATACCGGGACCCACCCACCTCCGAGCTCACCTCGGGCCGCACCTGCTCCTGGGCAGATTGAACGCCATCACTCCGCTTTCACTGCTCCGGCTCCCTCGACTCACTCGCCTGCAGCATCTACTCCAGCAGGTTGGTGCATTTATAAATGTTATTGCAAAGTGAGTGATGGTTTCAGTATGACACCTGCAGCTTTAAGCTTGAGTGATTTTGCTTTTTTTGTGGGGAGAAAGGGCAAGCTTCAAGTCCCTCTAAAAAACATTTTTTCCTGAATATTTATTTATACTTTCTAATCTCCCAGATGCAGTTGACTTTAGCATGAAGTATGGGATTAAGAATGTTACAGGTGCACTTTAGGTAACTCTCCCTATGGAAACCAGTCAGTGAATGTCAGTTTCAGCAAGCTACTGCCAACCAGTAGTAGCAACTTAATAATTTCAAACCAAAGCGCAGTATATCGAGAATATATTGCTTTTGATAAATATGCTGTACCATAAAAAAAATATTGCTTAAAAGAAAAATGGGCACCTTTGTGCATTTACACACACATCTTCAAAGGAATGCACAATGGAGCTCGGGTATTTCCTTTTCATTATTTTCTCATTGTTGTGGTTTCATAATTTATAAGAGGAAAATTTTATAATTTATAAAAGGAAAAATGGCACAATAATAGGGGGAAATTTATTATTTAAATTAAAAGCCAAGATAAAAGTCTGAGTTAGTTAAAAGATAATGGAAGCCTCATTTACAATGCTGAAATGTACACCTGTATATTTATTAATCTTTAATTTGGTATTGTATACAAATCACATAATGGATATCCTTTGCTTTGCTGGATAAAATATTTCATCCAGTACAGCATGTTTTCAAATTTTGTTTTCAAATAATGTGAAATTACTTGACAATCTCTTTAATGTAAAATTGGCCAGAATTCCTAAAATAGAAAAATAAATTTACACAGTACTTTACAGTATAATTATTGTCCATGTATGTATATACAAATATATCTTTCTTCTTTCAACAAACCGGCCGTATCCCACCGAGGCGGGGTGGCCCAAGTTTCTCCTTCTACATTTAGTAATATATACAGGAGAAGGGGTTACTAGCCCCTTGCTCCGGCATTTTAGTCGCCTCTTACGACACGCATGGCTTACAGAGGAAGAATTCTGTTCCACTTCCCCATAGGAGATAAGAGGAAATAAACAAGAACAAGAACTAGAAAGAAAATAGAAGAAAACCCAGAGGGGTATATATGTATATATATGCTTGTACATGTATGTGTAGCGTGACCTAAGTGTAAGTAAAAGTAGCAAGACGTACCTGAAACCTTGCATGTTCATGAACAGAAAAAAGGACACCAGCAATCCTACCATCATGTAAAACAATTACAGGCTTTCGTTTTATACTCACTTGGCAGGACAGTAGTACCTCCCTGGGTGGTTGCTGTCTACCAGCCTACTACCTAGAATATACATACACACCTACCATCCGACGTATGACCTGCTCGACTTACGACCACTCGACTTGCGACCATGTTTTTTATGCCAAATTTCTGGGAAATAAACAACTATTTGTGTTGTACACAGTGTTTATCCTAAACCTTACAGTATAAAATACAGTACTAACAACATAAAAAGTAAAGTAAAACATGAAATACCAAAATAAAACAATAAAATAAAAGTCATTACAAAAATGTTTTGTTGATATTCAGTAGTAAAGTTCGACTTACGACCATTTCGACTTACGACCGGTTTCTCGAACCGAACTCGATCGTAAGTTGGATGGTAGGTGTATATGCAGTAATAACAAATGAGCGATAAAAAATGCAAAATAACCACAGAGGGAGTTGAATGATAACTCTAGACCTTTCATGTTGCAATGAACACATCACCAGGAGCTTGCAGTGTTGCAGAAATGAGTAGGAAGTCCAAGCAGATTTGTTCAGGGAAACGACTATCTGGATAGTCATTTCCCCAAATGAATCTGCTTGGACTTCCTACTTTTTTCTGCAACATTGCAAGCTCCTGGTGATGTGTTGATTGCAACACAAAATGCCTAGAGCATTCATTCAACTCCTCCTGTGGTTATTTTGCATGGGTACACACACACACACACACACACACACACACGCACACACAGCACACCACAGCACACCACACCACACACACACACACACACACACACACACACACACACACACACACACACACACACACACACACACCACACACACACACACACACACACACACACACACACACGAAGCTTTAACTCCTTCAGGGTCCAAGGCCCAAATCTGAAGTGGTGCCCCAGTGTCCAAGAATTTTCAAAAAAAGAAATTTGTTATTTTTTCTTATGAAATGGTAGTGAATCTTTTTGTGAAGGTAATAAAACAAAAAGTACAAAATTTGATGGAAAATTGACGAAATTATGCTCTCGCGAATTTTGGTGTGTCAGTGATATTTACGAATCGGCGATTTTGCCGACTTTGACTCCCATTTTAGGCCAATTACATTATTCCAGTCAACCAAATTCTTAGCTATTTCACTAGTATTACTTCTATTCTATCGATTGAGCACAAGAAATCGCCAAGTCAACTGTTTCAACTACAAATTAAAGTGATCGGAAATTGTTAATTTGGCCAATTTAACACAAAGTTCAAAATATTCCAATTTCAAAATAGGGTCCAGAATAAACAATGTAGGTCTTCCTGGAACTAAACTAATATTTCCTCTGTTCATTAGTTACGTTTTGAAGCTTTACAAATAAATTCCATTTTGATTTTTTATTCACATAATGAATTATTATTCACACCAAAAAATAGAAGATTTACTGTTATGCAATACTGTAATAATTGTATAAATATCATCACCATATTTGTGAATGCATATTAGACCCACCAGCTGGCGTGTATTAGACGTGTGAGGTCGTTTGTTTACTCTTGAATATTGGCAAAAATTTAACATTTCTGCTACTTTGAGCTCAGTTTCAAGCCATTTCCAGTTCAAGAGTAAACAAATGATCCCACACGTCTAATACACACCAGCTGGTGGGTCTAATATACGTTCACAAATGTGGTGATATTATTTATACAATTATTACAGTATTGAATAAAAAATCAAAATGGAATTCATTTGTAAAGCCTGAAAACGTAACTAATGAACAGAGGAAATGTTAGTTTAGTTCCAGGAATGCCTGCATTGTTTATTCTGGACCCTATTTTGAAATTAGAATATTTTGAACTTTGCATTAAATTGGCCAAATTACCATTCCGATCACTTTATTTTGTAGTTGAAACAGTTGACTTGGCAATTTCTTGTACTCAGTCGATAGAATAGAAGTAATACTAGTGAAATAGCTAAGAATTTGGTCGACTGGAGTAATATAATTGGCCTAAAATGGGAGCCAAAGTCGGCAAAATTGCCAATGCGTATATATCGCTGGCACATCAAAATTCACAAGAGCATAATTTCGTCAATTTTCCATCAAATTTCGTACTTTTTATTTTATTATCTTCAAAAAAAGATTCTCTACCATTTCATAAGAAAAATAATAACAAAATTATTTTTTTAAAATTCTTGGACACTGGTGTGCACTTTGAAATTTGGCCTTTGGATCCTGAAAGGGTTAATTTGTCAAGACTGAAAAGCAATTAAATTTTACATTCCTTACATTATTGAGGTCATTGCTTGTTGACCTAGAAATGTATGGGGAACCTGAATAAACATATGACAGGCAGTTCCTATAGCTCACCTGCCAACGTCACTAGCACTACCATATATTGGTGGTTATAAGAGAGGATTTCCTACTAAATAAATATGCCTGGGCTGATACTTTTCATAATATGAGTGCAAACTTTTCCCAGAAAGTATGAAACAATAATCAAAATAATGAAAAAATAAACTCAGGTTATTACCATGCCCTGTTATTATTGTCGGGTTTTAGGCTGGTGTGGACCAAGGGTCACCATATCCATCTCACTTCTGTTGATATTGTTGGATTTAAGCAGTGGCGGCTTGTCAAAAAATAGAATGGGGGACTCTGCATGACTGCACACCTCATAGAACAGCATAATATACATTATTAAAATAATAAGTTTCAAAATTAAAATTTAATAATGATAAGAGTTCACATATACGTACCCATAGAGGTTGTCACAGTCCTGCTGGTGGAGATGTGGCTAGCTGGGATGATGATGTTACAACTATTTGAAAATAAAATCTGAGCGTCAATTTTTTGATGTCACAAAATGGTTCATAACTTTTTCATTAAAAGCTTTCATTTCTGTTATCATTATGGTTTCAGTCGATATCATTGCTAGAGCAGTCAAGCTTTCATTTGCCATTGTACTGCACAAAAAAGTTCTGATTCTTTTCAAGGTTGAAAAACATCTTCCTGCTTCTGCTGTTGTCATTGGAGTTTGATTGCAGATGATTGTCATTTTTCATCTCTAGCAAGTCAGTAAGTTTTTCCAATTTGCACAGATTTTTTCTTGAATACAGTATGGATAGTTCAGTTCTCAATTTATTTTTTTCAGTCATGGGATAGGCTGCAACTGCTTGCTCATGTGCATCAATAGGGAAGTTGTCAGTATATGTTGAAAAATTACTCACTAGTAGTAACTGGCTAGCTTCCAGATGATTCGTGAAACTGAATCTTTTTCTACACTGCAATAAAATTATGTCACTAACCTCTTCTGCAGCGACTGCTTTATCTGTATTAAATTTTCTTCTCTTTGGTTCAGAAGGCATTGTGGAAGCATCACATTCATCTCTTAATTTCTGAACTGAAGAGGCAAAAGCTGTTAAAGAGACATTAGCCTTAACTGCATTAATATTTCTAGACTGAAGCTCAGAAAACATGATGTCAACATGAGGCATCACTTTGGAAAAAAATTCCAACCTAAACTCAAATTTAAGATCACTCAAATTCACGATGCCTGCTGCTGCAGATCCAGTATCTCTTGAGTTAGATGCTTCTAGAATAGTGCAACACTCAATCAGTGCATTTTTCATCTTCTGCACAGCATTAACTGTTCTGCTCTTGAAATTCCAACATTTTTCAGAAGGCCTTGGAATTCGACTGCCCGCAGTATTCTCCAATGCTGTCATTCTTTGCAGAGATTTTGAAAA